TCGATCAACTGCTATCCATTGTTTTGTTTTATAATCTATAGAATTCTTGTCAAATAATATATTAAGCCTTTCTTTTAATTTTGAATATATGGGGGAAAATTTATTGTTGAATTTCAATTTTGGTAGATTATTTTATGCTAAATAAAATATTTAAAATTATTTTGTCAAGTAATTTTAATTTCGAGATAAAATTTAACTAAAGTTTTAAACAGCTCATTATCATAGTCACCTCTTAAATTTTTTTTATAAAGATAAAAAAAAGTAAGGGCCTACCATTTAGACATAATTTTTAATTTAACATTATTTCATAACTATTCATTAAATTAAAATATGATGATATTAATGTTAAATTTGTTCAATTTTAGCCATATAAAGAGTGATAACTCCTATCCTAAACCCATGTTCATCCCATTCTAGAATTTTGTGCAAATATAAAGCGGTGTGATATCTATCTACAGAAAAAAAAATTTGAAAAAAATATAATATTTTTTCTATGGCCATTTCCGGTTTTACACATCCGGTTTTCGATATTAATAAAATGTCCATCATATTTATTTTTATGTAATTTTAAAGAACTTTTATTAAGCTACAATATAAAATTTAAATTGTTTTTCTAACATAATTATTTCTCGAGATATTTGAAAATAAATGAAGTGCATTTTGTCAAAAATGTACCATTTTTCCGCGCTTTAAACGGCCATATCTTAGCGGGTAAACTGTGTTGGAAGGTAAGATTATATTTTTTTCTTAGTTATAGTTCATATGGTAATTTAATTTTAAAGACTATATTATAAGAGAACATGAACTTAATTAATAGCGCCATTTTCAGTTTAGAAATTAAATATTTATAAAGAATGAAAATTTTAATCAGATTCTTTCCTGCTTTCAACTATAGTTATATTTTTTCTATCTATTTTTTTTAGTATTTTATGTAAAAAATTAGCTTAATTTTACATTTGTGAATTCAATATTATCCTCAGATATGATATATCTTTTTTATCCGATTTTATATTATCAATTTTCGTATCTTTTCATGAGTTTCTTTAATAAAAATATGTTTGCCCTTTTGGTCTGCTTTAAACCTAAATATAAAGACAAGGAAAATTTGAAATCGATATTAATTCATAGAATAAATTAGTAGCGTGTTTATTTCTGCTGTGAATGATAAAAAAAAATGGAATATATATGTGATAATGTAGGAATCAGCAAAATTTTTGAAAAATATTTTAGCCGGCATTTGAATTTTTTAGCTTAGGGGGTTGACCCTCTGCCCACGCGCATGCGCCTGACATAAGCATATCAATGTAATTTTTTTAAGTTATAACACTACTTTGCTCTCTTAAGACCCAATCGAACGTCTATTTAGCTTTGCAAACCTTGACTATAGGCATAGTTGTCAGATAATTATTTGAGAAATTGTTTACATTAAAAATAAGAATATTTTAATATTTTTTTATATAAATTATCACATTGTCCTAATAAATTACTTTTATAAAATTTTAACAAAATTTACTACATCGACAAAATGCCAATATCAGACTGCCCATTTATAAAAATACATTAGGTGAAATGAATATAAAAAAAGTGTTTTGTTTATCATTATGTCTTAATTTAAATATGATGTCCAAAAATATAAGTTTCACATTGTGTCACTTTTTTCAAGGTATCTTTTTGAAGTATCTGTATCTTAAATATTTATATTCAAGTACTATTTTATATCTAAATACTTTTTAAAATTTCTATACCTATCCCTGTCTGTATGTATGTGTTACATTATAGGAATTAATAAATTAAAATATTGGTTATTGAATAGTAATATGTTTTAATTTATATAACGTACATTCATTATATTTATTCAAATAATATTTTTATTTTTGTTATGAATTCAAATTCAACTTATATTACTTTTTATTTTTGGTAACCTTACTTTTTGTTTTTTTTGTTTAATCATATATATTCTAATTTTAAATAGTATATATATATATATATACTATGTGTAAAAAAAGAAAAAGTAGTTAATAATAATAAAATACATTTTTACTTACTCACACGTTTATCCTCCTTCTTTCTTTTCAGTATAAAAACGATTGGTGGATAGGATTTGTGCAAGAAGTGGATGTAAATAGAAAAATGGAAATAAATTTTCTTATCCTAAAGGATACAGATCTCCTTTTCATACATAAAAATAATATTTTAACAATATTGAGCCCATCAAGGGCGACTAAGAATACCTATAATTTACCGCAAAACGAAATTATAAAAGGCGTCATAAAAACTTAATTTAATGAAAAGTCGAAAATAGGTAATATATTTCATGAATCTTAATTTAATTATATTTGCAAAATTAATAATAATTTTTTATGAGAAAAAGATTATTATACCCAGAGCTAAATAATCTAATATCATGATATTAATGCTGAAAAATCTTATTATTTATGTTAATAAATGGAAAAATTAAAAAAAAAATAATTTCAACAAAAATGCGTTATTTTTTATAGTTGTTACGAATGTGTTACGAATGTATTTATTATCACGAATGTGTTTTAATTAATCAATTACTTTTTGTTAAAGGCTATTACTTTTATTTTTCTTGTTTTAATTTTCCTTATTATTTAAATTCAATTAATAGTTCACTCTAAAAAAAATACTGTATATCATCAGATTATGATGTGATAAGGAATTATCTAATATATATATATAATCGCCGTAATCAAGAAATGAACGTTTTCTTATTCCTTAATGTTAATTTTTATTTTTGGAATCAACTTTCCTATCATCTTAATGTTTAATAAATCGAAGGAGACTAAATACCTCTAATGTTAAATTATTTTTTTAAAAAAAAATAAAACTTTAAAAATAATTTTTTTTTTTATACATCAACGAGATTCGAACCACTGACTTAACGTTCGTTAGACAATCGTTCTTTCCATATATTTAATTTTGTAATACAATTCTTCTTATATATGAAACTATATTATGATAAAGTAATTTAAATATATCAATATTTATCTTTTTTATTGGAAGCTCCAGGCTTGGAAAAACAATTTCAAAATTATTATCGGTTGGCCAGGTCTGAGAAAAATTTTTTAAAATTATAATGGTGGGATGGGCTTGGAAAATAATTTTTATTGGAAGGTGAAAAAAATTTCAAAATTATTATCGGTTGGCCAGATTTAAGGAAAAATTTTAAAATTATAATGGGTTGAGTTTGAAAATTATTTTTATAAATTATGTTGGGCTACGCTTGGGGAAATTTTTGACCTAAAACAAATAAACCAAGGCCCATATCTACGCTGCTATCATCTGAGTCATTGCTTCTGATTTTAAATTCATTATGATTTTTAAATATTTTATTCCAGTTCTCAACTACCAAAATTATTATGATCTTTGGTTGGGGTTGGGGAAATTTTTTCAAAATTATTATGGCCTTGGATCTTGCTTGGGAATTTTTTCAATATTAAATAATAGGCATAGATGATCAGTAATATTTTAACAAATAATATTGATATGGGTATCAAGTAAAAGCTTTAAATATATTTTGACTCAAAACATAGCATTTAAACTTAGTTTTAATGGATTGGACTTGACCTGAAGGTGGGAGGGAGTTATAAAGAATAAAAATTGGATATTATTTTCAAATAACAGGTAACAACTATCACACGAGTAAGGAAAAAATTCTCATTCCCCGTCATTTTTTATGGAACCAGCAATGCGGACTAAGCTCTGGTACTCTTAGTTATATATTTTTCATTTTGCCCTTCAAGAAAGACGGGTCATCATACTTTTCTCCCTTATTCGATGATAGATGAATCAGAAATTAAGAATATCTTACGAGGTGTGATTCACAAATTTATCTTTTTTTAGCCTAAATTTTAATATTTTTATAAAATATATTAATTAAGTATATTTAGTACCATATACACAAACTAATTACCCCTCAACCCCGTCATTCTTGACGGGTTATTAACTAGTGTGTATTATATTTTTGTTATAATGTTTTAAATTTTATATGAAATAAATTATTCCTTAGCTAAATCATGTAAAATCAAAGGAGTGTTATCTTTAGAAAAAAATTTTCATTTATTTTTTTAAATCGCAATAACTAAAAAACCCAAGGCTGCCCAAAGTTTAAATTTTTTTACAAATAGATATAATGTAAATATATAATTCAAAGAAATTCGGAAGGCGAAACATCTGGAGCTTTTAGGTTAAAATTTATAACGTAAATAAAAACTGCAACAATATTATCTAAAAAATTTTTTAATATTTACTAAAAGTTTATAATAGAATTATAAAATAACACCTAATTTTATTTTAAGCATTCTTATTGTATTTTGCGAAGAAAAGTCATTTTTGGCGATATCTCAAAAAAATATTAGTATAAGGAGGCTAGAATTTTGGATTTGATGCCTTTTAATAATGTTCTCTTAGTATGCAAAATTTTATCAAAATTAATCGATTTGGTATCGAATAAAATACTGAAAATTGCAAAAATCATAAAATATTAAAAAAATGGAAAGAGAAATAATAAATTCATTAAAATATTTAAGAAATGCTAATATGATATATTTCTAAACAAGGTTCATGGAGATTCATATAGCATTTTTTGCATGCCTTTCAATAATTATATTTTTTGCATAAAGCATTGATATAAATTAATATAACAGTACGCATTTAAGATTTTGACCATCCCTTCTGGCTTACTTCAGTATTTCATATGATCAGAAAATATTTAAAAATATTCTATTAGATAGGTAAATTTGTAATTGTTTCTGAAGAAAGATAGAATTATGAATATTGTGGAAAGAAAATCTGATTGAATAAGATAATTGCCAAAATAAAGTCAATATTTCAAAATGTATTTACAATGGGGCATATTCAATTCTAAAATCATACTTATAAAAAATTAATTTTTCTAAAGTCAGGAAGGACTCAATATGATAGTAAGTTTTTTAGGAAATTTAAAAAGATATGGATCAATCATATAAGTAGGATAATACTTTATATCGCTAATTTGGCTTTTAAAGTTTCCTAAATTAAGTTTACGACATCCCAATCGCGTTAAGTTGGTTATCGGTATAGGGAGAGGGAAGACGTATGTGAAATTCGGATATTTATCTATTAGAGGATTAACACCTAAATTGTCCCAACGTTTATCAGCTATCCACCAAACCTAATTCATTTTTTTTATAATTTACGATTATATCATGAAAATATTGAGATTGCTTTAAAGCGACACTTATCTAAAAATATACTTTCATTTAAATGGGAAAGATTAGAGGTTATTCGCATTATATTTTTTTAAAAGTAAGCTATTACACATTGTATTAAATAATTAGTCTATTTATTTTTATGTATTAAAAATATGACTAAATTAGGTTCAACTTTTAAATTAAAAAAAATGGGCTAACAAAATTTGGTAAGTAACTAGCATTTTTATTTTTTTAGTAATTATAAAAAAAATAAATAGCACAGACGCTAATCACTTTAGTCTTGTTAAAAAGCATAGTAATGACTTTGGCTCAAGCAGGCTGAGGAGTTGTCTCGAGTCTAATGTTGAGCCAAAATGTAATTATTTAAATAAATTTAAAAGAATATAATAAATATCTAGAATTCGTGTACCATACCAAGTTTCTTCATATATATTTTTTAATATTTTTATTTTTTTTGTTATTATTATTTTTAATATTATATTATATTATGAAAATGGATTTATTTATTTGATGTATTTTTAATAAAAAAAATGATATGCTGCTATAGTAATATTATTTTTGTTACAATTTATTAGTGATTTTCACGCCCAAAATTTTAAGAAAAAAAATCTGATAAGAATTTTAAATCTTCTATGTAAATAATTTTTGAGGAATTCTTTTGATAATTTATCATAAATAAACAATCCTCTAGGCGAAATCTTTTATATTTTTTCCTTTAACATTTTTGTAAAATTATCTATTTTTTTAAGTATATTAAAAGAGATAGTTTTTTCTAAATAGTTTTTTTAAAATATTTATATTAAACTTTTTTATATTATTTTATATGATCTTTTTAAGGATAATATTTTAATGTGACAATTGACATATTCGTTATTTTTTAACATTTTTGAAATTTTTTGACACAAAAGGGTAAAAATAATATTTATATTGTAAAGATGTTAAATTATAAATATGATGTTCCTTGGAAAAATGACAATTATCATAATCGGTATTTTTTTAAAATATTAGATTTTTTTGACACTAATTGTCAAAAATATGTATTTTTAACATGTTAAATTAAAATTTCAATTAAGATGTAATATATAAAAGTGTCAATTATCGTTATTTTTAGTTTTTTGATGTAAATTGGCAAATTAAGTATTGCTAACATTTTAAATTAAGAATTTAGTGAAGATGTACCCTAGATAAATGACAATTGTCATAATAGTTATTTTTAAAGTTTATTGATTTTTTGACGCAAATGGGTAAAAATATAGGTTGTAAACATATCAAATTAAAATTTCATGAAGATGTACGATAGGAAAGTGGACAATTGTGATAATCGTTATTTTAAAAGTTTGAATTTGACCCAAATGGGTTAAAATATAGATTGTAAAATGTCAAATTAAAATTTCATGAATACCATAGGAAAGTAAGTCAATTGTCATAATCGTTATTTTTAAAGTTTTTCAATATTTTTTTGAGAAATCATTTAAAAGATATTTTGTTTAAATTTTATTGAAATAATTCAGAAAAATCACAATCTTCGTTCTTTAACTTTCTTATTTGTTTTATGAGATATGTGTTGGTACCATTTGGTGAAACAAAAAAAACAAATGGAAATTTTCATGCTCATAATCGTTGTCCCTTTAATCCTGCTTAAAATATGCAAAGTGATTACTAAAGAGAGTTGTAACTCATATTAGATTCTAAAAATTTATGATATGGACAATTTTATTCCTTTAATTAATAAATTTTAATTCTACATCTATTAAAATTTATAACCCTAAATGTTAGCAAAAATTTTTGATATTCAAGGCGAAATCGTGCTGAGTCTGAATTTAGGGTAATGAAAAGAACTTAAAAAACATGTTAACAATATATATTTTAACCCATTTAGTCAAAAAAATTCAAAAACTTTGAAAATAACCATTATGACAATTGTCACTTTTCTATGATATATATTCATGAAATTTTAATTTAACATGTTTACAATCTATATTTCTACTCATTTGCGTCAAAAAAATTCAAGAAACTTTATAAATAACGATTATGACAATTGTCACTTTTTATTATGCTATATCTTCATGAAATTTTAATTTAACATGTTTACAATATATATTTTAACCCATTTACGTCAAAAAAATTCAAAAAACTCTAAAATAACGATACTGACAATTGTCACTTATCTGAGTCAACTCCTGAGCTGACTCGAGCCAGCCAACTCTTATGGCTCAATGAGCCGGCTTGAGCCTGAGTCGATTTCCGGCTTAAAAATTGGCTGCGTTTAGGGCTAAGCTGGCTTGACTCAGCCATCTAACTTGCCAGGTTATAACTGCTGCTTTCATATTATATTTATAATATAAAAATATATGCATTCTTTATCAGATTCAATTACAAATATTAAAGTAAAATAGATAAAGCGGCATTAAAGAAAAATTAATCATTAATAAAATGTTGAGTTAATGTAGGATTAATTATCAAAATATCTATAGCTTAAAAAAAGAAATGATTTATATTTTAATTTCCATATCTATAAAATAAAATGTACAAAAAAAATTTAAAAACAAAAAAATAAAATATTATTAAAAAATATATAAGGGTTTAATTTATTTACAAATTTTAAATTTGTCTATTAATCGCATGGGTATAAGCATAAATAATATAAAATAATAATTAAAAAAATTACACTATGAGATAAAAAAAACAAATCCAATATTATAATAAATAAAAAATATAAAAATTCAAAAAAGAGTTACAAATTAAAATTAGTGAATAAATTTTCTCCACTTTTATTTCTTTTAACATTAACCTTTTTTTAATTTGTCTTACATAGCCATTAATAATTAATATAAAATAATAATTTCAAAAAAATAAATTAGACGATAAAAAAAACAAATTCAAAATAAAAAATATTACGAAAGAATGATTAAAAATGAATCAGACTAGATAGAGTATAGTTTTTTAAGTTATCAATAAACAGGTGAGCGACCTCTAAGTTCTGAAACAACTTCAGCTAGCCCATTTATGTTGCTTATCTAGCTAGCTTGCTGAATCCATTTTTTCACTCAAAACGTGGTGGTAGAACACAAATTCTACATAATTATATTCTTAAATGCCACAATCACATACAAATAAATTTCGGCTCAAAATTGAACTCATCCTGAGCCAGCTTGTGCCAACTCTGAGCCTGCCGACTCATATGTCTCAATGAGCTGGCATGAGCCTGAGTTAATTTTCAACTCAAAAACTAGCTTAGTTTAGGGCTAAGCCGGCTTGGCTCAGCCGTTTAACGCCACTAATCACAAATAAATAAATTTCGGCTCAAAAGTCGGTATGAGCCAACTCCTGAGTCGACTCATATGGCTTAATGAGCCGGCTTGAGCCTGAGTCAAATTTTCGATTCAAAAACTGGCTGAGTTTAGGGCTAAGCCGCCTTAGTTAAGCCATTTAATAACATTAATCTCAAATATATATATTTCGGCTCAAAAGACGCATTGAGCCAACATCTGAGCCGATTCGAGCCAGCCGACTAATATGGCTCAATTAGCCGGCTTGAGTTTGTGTTTCGACTCAAAAACTAGGTAAGTTTAGGAATAGGGCTCACCTCCGCCGTTTAACAACATTAATCTCAAATAAAAAAATTTCGACTCAAAAATCGGCTTGAGTAAACTCCTTAGCTGACTTGAGCCTGAACCGAATTTTAGGCTCAAAAACTGGCTGAGTTTAGGGCTTAGCCGGCTTGGCTTAGCCGTTTAACAACACTAAGTCACTTACTTCTAAGTAGTTGCAATCAGTATTATTTTAATAAATTTTCCGTGGCGAAAATTTTTTCCCTTAAATTTAATGCATATAAATATTTTTAGTTTTCAATGTTAAAAGCATATTAAAAAACAATTAAAAATAATTTTAAAATTAACTACATTATTTTCAATTGTTTTTTTCAGCCTTATTTATATCATTAAAAGATGTATCTTCATTGAAATCATATTATAAATCGTGTAAATATCTATTACCTTACCAGTTAATACATGACTAATATTTTTAAAAAAATGAAGATTTACTTTATTCGGTGATATTTTCGAACGATCTATATTATCTAGAATAATTTGTTGGAGTAAAGGACCATATGGATGCTTACAAGAGCAAAGCTTTTTGGCCAAATGTCTGCAATCGAACGAATTATGAAAAACCGAACGATTCTTAAAAAATTCGTTTATTTAAAACATATATTAAGACTTGGGTTTCTTTAAATTATTTGGTGTAAGATGCTTAATGATTTAAAAATACTTTATGCATTTTTATTAGGAAGGAATCAATAGTTAACCGTATGAGCATTTCTTGGTTCGTAGGATTAAAATAAATGAGTAAAATTACGGAATCAACTGAATAACGATTAGTTATAATATTCCTGCTAAACATCGCTTAGAGGTTCTTTTTTAATTTTTTTAAACTGGCTATCTAATCGACCAGAATGAAACTTGGCATATAATTTATTTATATTGTAAATGTTAATAAAATCCAAATTTTCGAGCGCCAGCTCAAACTAATCCAAAGATATACGTTTTAAAAAGTCGAAAATCGCGTAATACGTGATTTCATTAAATCTTGTTTTTTAAGAGTTACAAATTATATATCATTTTATAGCCCTTAAAATTTTACATTGGAAAATTGAAAAAAAAAATTAAAAAATTCCAAGTGTTTTCGTATTTCCGGTAAAAATAAAAAATTAACATTGTTAGGAAGGGATTTTTTTGGGGGTGTTGATATTCTCTAAAAATGTTTATTACCTTTATATTAAACTATTTAATAAAAAATCTCGAAAGCCATTTTTGTTTTTTTAATTTTATTAAATTTTTTATAAATTTTATAAATAAAAAGATAATATAGATGGCGTTATATTAAATTTTTTATAAAATATATATTTAATAAAAATATGTAAAATATTGGTATTAAAATTTAAAAAATCGATTAAGTATAACTAATATGATATCCTGGGGCAATAAGTAAGGAAGCAGCCCATACGGATATGATTATTAGGACACTATATTTAAAAATTTTCATTTTTGTTTATTGGACAAGCATCCTTAGCACCCGGCTGTCCAAGCCTGTCGGTGACCGGGGTGTCATCTCTAAGCTCCAAAATTCATTTTACCATATGTCTTTACACATCATTCATCGAAGAAAAAGCCGAGAATTCTTACGTTACTTACCAGGATAGAACCTGGGACTCACTGTTTCCAAGCCTACATCATAACCCACTAGGCCACCCCGACGATAGGCCACCCCAGAAAACCCAGATAGATTATATGCTTATCTCTCGCAGAAGATTAAAAGATGTAATAGACTGCAAAGTCATCCCAGGAGAAGATATTGCCGCGAAACACAAGCTACTAGTCATGGATTTACACATCACAAATAAATCCACTCAAAACAAGATAAAACTTGAATTTGCCTAATTGCGTGGATAGCATCAGTTGTTGATCTTCCAGGCATAAAGCCAAACTGAGTCTCTCCTATTTGGATTATGTTTCCTAACCTTTTTTCTATTATTTTTTAGTAGAGTTTAAGACAGTGTGACATTAGTTTTATGCCCGCCAAACAGCGAGAAATAAATTCTAAGTATATAAACGGAGCTCTGAAAGTAATCAAAAATAAAGATGGGAAATTGATAATAAAGGAAAAAGAAATAATGAATAGATGGAAAGAATATATTTAGGAGCTTCTCAACTTTAATCCCCACATACTACATCTAGACGAACACTCCCCATGTCAAAACCTTATAATACCAATAACAGAACAAGAAATAATCACATGTCTCAAGCATACAAAAAACAACAAAGCTAGGGGTCCAGATGATATTCCAATAGAAAGCCTTAAAGCACTAGGAGATGATGGAATACATCTCACAAATCTGTACAATAAAATACAGGGAAATGAAGAGATCCCTCAAAAATGGAGGCAGAGCTATCTAGTTCCTATCTTCAAAAATAAAGGGGATCCACACAATTGTCAAAATTACAGGGGCATAAAACTAATGTCACACTATCTTAAACTCCACGAAAAAATAATAGAAAAAAGGTTAAGAGACATAATCCAAATAGGAGAGACTCAGTTTGGCTTTATGCCTGGAAGATCAACAACTGATGCTATCCACGCAATATGAGTGAAAAATACAGGGAAAAGAACAAAAAGCTACACATGGTCTTTCTCAATCTAGAAAAGGAGGCCTTTGATAGAATCCCTAGAAAACTTATCTGGTGGGCGCTACGCCACAAAAGGGTTCCCGAAAAATATATAAGAATAATACAGGATATGTATATAGGCAATAATACAATGGTCCGTAGCACAACTAGTACTTCAACAGGCTTCACAATAGCCGAGGGAGTTCATCAAGGGTCGGCTCTCAGCCCACTTCTCTTCATAACAGTAATAGATGTATTAGCACAGTCTATATCACAAACAGTCCAGTGGAATATGATATTTGCAGATGATATTGTGATACTTGCCGAATCCAAGGATGAAATAAAAGAAAGATTAATGAGCTGGATAAATATCCTAGAAAAGCACGAACTAAAAGTAAATAGAGAAAAGACAGAGTATATGGTGATAGGAGGAGATGAAACAGAGAGCATTGATATAAATGAATGGCAGATATTGGCAATTGAAAGCTGCAAATATTTGGACTCCACTATACAAACAAACGGCACAATAGAGAAAGAGGAGATCTTTATCTGGAGTGCTCTTTGACAATAGAATCCCACAAATTGAAGGGAAAAATTTACAGTTCCATAGTACAACACACTATTCTATATAGTTCGGAAACATGGCCAACCAAAGAATCAGACGAGAGAAGTCTACAAACTATGGAGATGAGAATGCCGAAGATGATTGCTGGGGTTACGCATTACAAGAATACTAGGAAGTTTAAGGTAGTGCCCATTAAAACTAAGATAATAGTAAACAGACTTAGATGGTATGTGCATACAATGAGAAGGCCCATGAACTACATAGGAAATAAGGTTGAGTTTGGAAGTGATGGGTAAACGTAAAAGAGGAAGGCCAAAACTTCAATGGAGCCATAAAGTTAGAGCCAATATGAAGAAGTATAAAAATAAAAGAGATAGTATGAATAACATAAAGTGGAGAGAGATATTGAAGGAGCTTGCCACCAGAAAAAGTGAAAGCCAAAGAGAAAAAAAAAATATTTTAAAATTTTATATACAAACAATTATAAAAAAACCTCTTGCTTTAATCTTTCCCATTTTTAGCTTATTAATAGAATTTCCTGAGGTGATAATTTGTAGGTATGTCCTGTCACTGTTATAGGATCTACTATCGTTATTATTTGATTAATGTGCAATCATATCTTTCCACATTTGTGGGTTAAAAGAAGGATGGTGATGGTCCATGGGGATGTAAAAGGAAAAATATATCTTCTCAGTAATTTCATTCTTTTTTAGTACTGTGGTTAACTACCAAAAATCATCATAAACACATGTTAGGAATCCTTTAATATCAGCAAAGACAAATTATCGGCATTTGAGATATTGTTAATTTGAAAGTCCTCTGCATATGAATATATTTTTGATTTAAGTTTACTTAAACTCAAAGGAAATACAGCATATATTTCCCGAGTTCCTGGTATGGGGCGAGCTAAATTGAATTTTTCTCGTAGTTTAATCTCTTCTAAATTGTATTATTCGTTGGTTATTATGTAAAATTTACTGACAACATGTTTTGTTTTGCAAACTGATATAAATCAACTGGTGTTAAAATGTGTCCAGAACTGGTGCGCTGAAGGCTTGAACGTGCTGCTAATATTTTTAATGTTCCGCTAAGCCCGTCATATGAACTTTTCCATGAAATGTAGCTGAAAAATGTCATTCAGCTGCTACACTAAAATCTGATTTATGATAACACAGATTTATAAAAAAAATTTTTTTATTGTGCAGCTGATCCGTCAGAGCAGTAATATATTTTACTTGGCCATTTTCTTAAATGATCAAAAAAAATAAAGATAGTAGATCCACAACAGTGAAAGGATATATCTACAAATTATATGGCCTCAGGAATTTCTATTAATAAGCGCAAAATAGAATACGATAAAAATAAGAGATATGTTTTTGTAATAGTTTGTATAAAATTTTAAATATGTTTATTTTACAATATAGCATCCTATTAATAATAATCATATCTGTATGGGCTGCCTGCTTACATATCTCCCCAGGACATCATATTGGTTATACTCAATTGATTTTTTAATTTTGATCCCAATACAATTGATATTTTTATTAAAAATATTATATTATTATAATTTTTGAATATAACGCCATTATATTATCTTTTTTTATATATGTTAGCGTCAATAAATTTTCAGCAATGTGATGTAGTGGTAGGCAATGTAAATGTGAGATTTCGGCAATGTGTTCTATTTTACAATTTATAAATTTATTATTTATTTAAGATTAATTTATTATTTATTTAATATTAATTTATTATTTATTTAATATTAATTTATTTTTTGATATAAAATAAATATATCAATCAAAAAAAATATGTAAAAAAATAATATAACAAATTATAATATATTATTTCAATATACTTAAAAAAAATATCAAAAAAAATATATTTAAAAAAATAATATAACAAATTAAAATATATTACCTCTAAAGTTTTATTTAATAATATAAACCAAAAAACAAAAAAAAATTATCTATCAAAAAAAATCTACGTAAAAAATAAATATATAAAAAAGTAATTATATTAAAATAAAAATATATAAAAAAAATTATATTAAAAAAAAAATATCAATCAAAAAAAATATATAAAAAAATAATTATATTAAAAAAAAATATCTATCAAAAAAAATATATAACAAATTATAATATATAAAAAAAAAATATCAATCAAAAAATATATATAAAAAGATAATATAACAAATGATAGCTAATTTTTTTTTGTTTTTTGGTTTATATTATTTTTTAAGTAATATATTTTAATTTGTTATATTATTTTTTTTAAATATTTTTTTTGATTGATATTTTTTTTTAAATTTTTTAGATAATATATTTTAATTTGTTATATTATTTATTTATATATTTTTTGATTGATATTTTTTAATATAATGGTTTTTTATGTATTTATTTTTCACGTAAATTTTTTCTTGTTATATTTTTTGATATCTATTTTATTTTTTGTG